TACACAATCTCCAAGATGATTTTTTTTTTGAAAAAAAAAAGAGAATAGATCTTCCATTTTTCTACCACATATCCTATTTTGACACCAAGAAATGAGGTTTTTCTAGAAATAGAAATGAATTGTCAGAAATTTATTTGGAATAAGAGTTTTTCATTAACAAAAATTTCTTTCATATCCAAATTCGATATTGTGGGAGACCCTAATAGAATTATAATTAATATATATAGGGTTAGGGTCTTTCACTGGAAAAGGGTCAAAAAAAGGAGGAAATGGGGTAAGCCGGATTTATGGCGACTATCCAAGAATTTCAATGTGTGAATCGAGGGTTCAGACTCTAAAACTTATCTGATTTTATCAATTGTTAGAGAATTTTTTCTCGAAGAAATCATGAATCTTCTAGGATATTATTAAGGATCTCATCGAAAACTTACAGCAGCTTGCCAAACAAAGGCTAAGAGAAAAAAAAACACAGGTATGACTGGCATAACATCTACGATTGGATTCAAAAAAGCATAGGCTTCAGGCAATTTGCCGAAGAAAAAACTACTCGAATAAAGGGCAGAATTAAGACAAATACAGATCAAACTAAAGATATTAAGCATAACAGACATTTTGTTCTTGGAGATAATTGCATTTTGATTGAGTTATTGATATAAGGAAAAAGGAAGAAAGGAAGTAAGGTATACAAAAATCCTTCTTTTTCTTTGAACCCACCCAATCAAAAATCCTCCAATTCTCAAAGGAGAATAGAAGAAATCATACTTTCATACAATATCTTAATTGAATTATATGTAATGATCAATAAATTAAGTTGAATTCTATATCTATATGGATTAAAATCCTAGTAATAATCTATTCTATAGATATTTGGACTGGAGTTGACAAACAACCAATAACAATATTATTGTTTCTTAGTGTAGATTAGAAATTGATAATGGGGCGTGGCCAAGTGGTAAGGCAACGGGTTTTGGTCCCGCTATTCGGAGGTTCGAATCCTTCCGTCCCAGAGCCATATCCATTTTTTTATAATTTTAGAATAAAGATTGTTTTCTTGAACAACTTTCTGTTTAAAGTCTAATTTTAGATGGAATGTGATTCTTTTATATCTTATATGAATCATATCTTTTTTCACAAACTGAACTGAATCGAGTTCAAATGACACGCATCTGGACCTGAATCTATTTTTTATCAGGTAAGATGAGAACATGGATCAAAACAAAAGAGTTTGAATTCAAAAAAGTTGGGTGGGCTTTTCATCATATGTTCATTCCCTTTGATATTTAGGGAAGTTAGTTACTTGGAAAAACTTTCCATCCCATATCTATTTGAATTTTCAACGATGGATGTATTTTGAATCGAGATGCAAAAGAATCTATATTCCCTATCTCTTATTATTTATCCCGTAAATGAGGGAGTCTAATTAGTAATTAGATTTTTCTCGAGATCTCTGAATTCGAAACAAGAGCGAGTTCTTGATACTAATTAAATTCAATCAATAGGACTAAGTCTCTTAGTGGGTTAGACTAAAGCTTGACTAAATTTGGACTTATTGTTTGTCTTTGTAACTAGACAAGTCATTTCCCATACCGGATCAGGATTCCTTTTTTTTGCTCTATCATTCCCCTAGAAAGAATAGGGGAGTGGATAGGAGATAATCAGTATTAATTTAAATATCTGTATCTGTCCAAATCTCATTAACAAATGATCAAATAACATATTTATATATGTTTATATGTTATGGAATCGATGTATTTTCTTTGAATCTCGTTTTTTTATTTTATTTAGGTATTTTTTTTGTTTGGCTATAATGAAGAATTAGAAATCTATGTAACGATTGGATTGAGGCAGGGGTGATTTATCCTATCCCTTTTATTCACTTTATGACAAGATTCGATTATTGAAATATTACTCAACCCCATGTTAAACAAAATGCATATAAAATGAGGACATGTTTAGCTTATATGTATCGTTCTATTTCAATGACAATAGTCTTTCGGTTTTTGTGAAAAAGGTTTGGGATCCCTTAAATTTTTTAAACTCAAATTAGTTAAATTAAGTATTATAGAATATCTATAACAGTGACAATTGTTTAGTCTATCTGATAGATACGAAAACCCCTCTCGATTTTTTCGATTTGGATTTTCGCAATCAGATGAAAAGAATAAAGATTCAAATCTTACCTTACATCAGTTTTTTTATCCATCTCATGAAAAAAAAATGGGATTTCTTTCTTCTTTTCTGTGATCTATTTATCTATTTGAAATCAGTGATGGGTCAATTAAAAAAAAAAAAGACTTATCTTTTAATGATGTCTAAATAGGAACCTTTTTCCATTCGAAATAGTTTTAATAACTATTTTGAATGATTCCTTGTAAGTTGAATCTTTGGTACTCAAAAAGTAGGAAATAGGTCAATCTATCCTATTGAGTCACTTGAAGTAGCAGACTTAAAAAGAACTTATTTATTCGTTTATCTATTTCTATTTCTTTATATATGTGTTAAAGATGGTGTCTTGCTAAGACTTCTTCAGAAAAATCTTTACACATATCATATATAGAAGAAAAAGTCTAGATTACGCGATGTCTATGTACAACTGAACCAATGACTATTCATGATTCCATGATTGAATCAATTCCATACCGGTTCCAAATTAGAGGAATGTTATGGTAAAACTTCGTTTGAAACGATGTGGTAGAAAGCAACGTGCGACTTGAAGGACAGATCCGTTGTGGATTTTTACATCCGCTATTTTATATTTATATAGGAATGAAGGTGCTCTTCGCTCGACATCGTTTGTTCTGTTCCACTCGAACCCTTCGTTTTTTGCTTTTTGTTGGGTTGTAAATAGTCCACGATGGAGCTCGAGTGGAAAGGATTAATTCATTTCTCGGGGGCAAGGATCTAGGGTTAATGCCAATCAATAAATTGGAACAACTTCGTAAATATATCTTCGAGATAGAAATGGAAAGGATCCAATTTGAGCAAGTTTCCAATTCAAAAGCAAAACCTGTTGGAATTGATCAAACGTTTTCGATCCAAAGTGTATCACGCGGGAATCAACTGTCCGTAGGATTCTTTGATAGAAAGATAAATCACAAAAAAGGGTATGTTGCTGCCATTTTGAAAGGATTAAGAAGCACCGAAGTAATGTCTAAACCCAATGATTTAAAACAAAGATAAAGGATCCCAGAACAAGGAAACACCCTTTTAATTGTCTCGATAGTCTCAATAACTGGATCAGACTGAAGAATCAAAATAGAATTTTAAACGAGACAAACAAAAGGGGGTAAAGACCACTCAATAAATGAAATTTATTAAAGATTTTTTCCTTTAAGCTATTTGAGAGTTATCCAACTTGAGTTATGAGTACGAATGGTTTCTTTTTCATTTTCAGGAAGGAAGAAGAAAAAAAAGACTTAAATCATAGTCTAATTGATTTTATAGGCTCATTTGTCATTTATTAGAATTCCATACATAGACAAAACTTCGAATCAAATCATTTTTTCTCGAGCCGTACGAGGAGAAAACTTCCTATACGTTTCTAGGGGGGGGTATTGTTCATCTACATCTATCCCAATGAGCCGTCTATCGAATCGTTGCAATTGATGTTCGATCCCGAAGAGAAGGAAAAGATCTTCGAAAAGTGGGTTTTTATGATCCACTGAAGAATCAAACTTATTTAAATGTTCCTGCTATTCTATATTTCCTTGAAAAGGGTGCTCAACCTACAGGAACTGTTCAGGATATTTTAAAGAAGGCAGAAGTTTTTAAGGAACTTCGACCTAATCAAACAAAATTCAATTAAAGAAATACCAAGGGGGGGTAGTGATTTGTATATAACTTTGTATAACTTTTCTCTACTATTTTTTTATTTCCCCCCTTAATCCTGCTTTATTCGTATCTATTTCTCATTGCTTCTGTCGAATTCCATGGTCGATAACAACAAAACCTTAGTTTATTGATCATATAAATCTCAAATTCGGACATTTCATTTCTTTCAATTATGTGGTTTTCGTTGGAATTTGACTAACCAACAAGGAATCCAGTTTGTTTATTCCACTTAGATTGATGAAATACATTAAAAATCCGATATTTTTTTTTTCCAATTCTTATTCTCCCATCTACACTTTTTTGTATCTATGTAGATTAGATATCTAGTGTCAATCCAAGACAATTTGGAATATTATTTCATTGTTAAATTGAAATTTTTTGAGTTTAAAAAAAAAAAGATTTCAATGAAATTTCTTTTGTTTTTTCCATTGTATTCCTTTCTCAACATTTATATTGACAACAGTGTATCGAACAAATATAATTCAGTGAAGTGGATCTATTTTTTTCCGTACCATAGGTTTGTTTTTTTACTTTACCTCATTCCTTTCTTTGATATTGATACAAGAGGTTTTAAAATTGAAAAAAAAAAAAGTAGATAACATAAGAGGTACTCTATCCATTTTGACAATTCTCTCTCTCTCTATATATTTTTTCTTTTATCTGATAATTTCTTGTATTTTGATCTGATCTATTCATTTTTATGTTTCTAATCCATTAGAAAATCTGTTTTTTTTAGATTTCTTAGCTCAATTGTTTGATTACCTCGTCTAATTTCTTTTCTCATTATTTAATTGATAATTGATTTAGATTGTATCTTCACACCCTTTAATTTCAATATTGAAATTATGTTTCAATTTTTTATATTTTCTTCGGGTTGCTAACTCAACGGTAGAGTACTCGGCTTTTAAGTGCGGCTAGAATCTTTTACACATTTGGATGAAGCGAGGAATTCGTCCATACCATCGGTAAAGTTTGGAAGACCGCGACTGATCCTGAAAGGGAATGAATGGAAAAAATAGCATGTCGTATCAACGGAGAGTTCTGAGTCTATTTCATTTTTATCGGATCGGTACAAAACCCTGTTCGAATTCTTGGAACGGAACAAAAAAAAGTTGGGTCAAATGAATAAATGGATAGGGCCCTATGGCTTCAATTAATTATGGGAAAGA